TTTTTCTGGAAACGTTCGACTCTTGCGAGAGTGAGAGAAGGAAAAAAGCTCGTCGTCGGAGACCCTGGACATCCATTCTAGAACGGATGTGGGTGATGAGTCGAGAATAACGGGAGTGAAATAGACATTGGATGGATAGTAGCGGCTGGCGAGGGGAGCATCCCTCCTCGGAAGGAAAGTGTCGGGTTCATCGAGCCCCACGACGTACTTTTATAGAAGCTGAAATCAACCCATTAGACTAGTCAGCGGCTGACTAGTCTAATGGGTTGATTTCAGCTTCTATACGTCGTACGCAACACAGCAGGAGACAGATGTTTTCCATACTGCAAGAGGGGTGCAGCCCCATCCGTTTGAGCTGTTGCTCAAAGGCGGAAGTCGTCCTCCGACAGTCCGTCGCGACTCGCGTCCCTTAACGTCTTACTTTGCTCACCTCATCATCATCCTTCGCAACAATTGTTGACCCCTTTCTCTCCTCCGGCTGCCCAACGGTGTGTTCCGGCCCGGCTACATTGATCGTCTTCGGGGGGACGCCGATCAGGGCCACACGAAAACCTGCAGCACCTGCCTGCGTGCATTGAAGAACATCAACAAGTTGTTGGCAGCGAGCAAGACGGCTACCGCGCTCTCCTGCACCTGGGTGAGAAAAACAGCGAGCAGTCGTGCTCACGGACGAACCCCCCTTTGTTGGTTTTCGACGGTTGACCCCGTGTTCCAACCCATTGCCCACGCATCAAGCCCGGAGCCTTCGTTCGTGCGCAGTCTATCGCTGTGAGTCGCGTGGCGGGAAGTGAGGTCATTTTTGCAGCCGGGGGAAGTGGCGATTTTAGCGCTCATCACGTTTAAGTGGGCTCGAGAACTATGTTCGTGTTTTAAGCCTTGGGAAATTGCGAGCGCTCGCTGTGATAGACCCTCGCATCCCTGCCCATGCGGGACGTCGCCCATATTTCCAAACGAGGAAGGCGCTGCGAAACGTGGGTCCCGTACAGCCACATTGTTGTCCTTGGCATTTTTCGCGTAAACAAGAAGTCATGGGGCACGTGCAGGTGCCCGCCAGCACGCCGTGCATTCGTCTGCGGGCTTACATGGAGTCTTCGGATGATGAGATGGTTTTTCATCCATCCGTTTGTTCCCTTGTCACGAATCGATAAACCAGGGGCTGCTACGAGGGGCGCGCGCTGTGAGTACGCCGGCGGCCGTCGGTTCGCGGTCTGCCGGTGTTATCAATGCCGTGACGGCTAGGGCCATGCTTCCAGCGGTGGCTCTGACGCTCGCAAGCCTGGGGGCTGTCAAGGTAAAGTTTTGCACCTACCGCGGTCGTAGGATGTGCCCGTCGTCGTTTCCTTCGTCCACGTCGTGCGCATTATCAAGCAGATGTAGCCTTTCCTGCTCGGAAGACTGAGGCGTTTTGTTCGCTGATTCGGGTGTTGCTTGTAGTGCACAAGCTTCCTTTCCCTCACACGATGCGTGTCATCGTTGGTTCTTGCGTGTGCGGGTGTAGGTTCTCGGCGAACCCTCATATGTCCATGGGCCTGTGCCTCCGCTTATTTATGTGCCCGCAATAAGCCGCGAATGAAACGCCTCCGACCCTCGACGGCCGCCGATATCAGCGTGCCGTAGCGCTGGAGGGAGTCTTAAGAACGTCCAGCCCCAACAAACAACGCGTACTCCTGTTACAGCTTCTTGAGGTGTATATGTTGCCAAACTATACAACATCAGAATCTCGGGCAACCAGTTGTTTTCGAACAACGTCTGGGTCACAATCTTGGGCAGCCGCTGTAATTGTTTTACAAAGACTACCTGGAAGTCGAGCCCATGCGCACCCATAGTGGTATGTGTTACGTACGCGCTAGTTGTACAGGATGTGATTAATGTGGATCTCCCCCGTCTTGTATCTGCTCGCATCTTAGGTACTGGAGAAATTTCGCGGCCTGTACTACACTTACTCATTCCACCACCAAGACAATCCCTGAGGTGAATACGGCACCACGTCGCTCGGCGAGAAAGACGTCCGCCTAGCTGCACCCGTATGGTCTTTTGGCCAGCTTCGGCACAGTCTTCGACCCATGTCGATTTGTTTTGATGTCATATGCTATATTTGAAAACCAAAGGACGTGGTAGGTACATGTGTCCAAAGATTGAACGAAAACACATCAGAAGGGATATGAGAGAGAAAAAGGACGTTATATTGTAGAGCCAGCCGGTTCGATCGTGTATGAGCCAGCGATCGTGGGACATGTGAAACGTCGCGCCTCGTCAGCTTGGTTGGATAGACGCGGGATTTTCTTCCGATCGTGTTAAGGTGTCAGCACCGACACAAGGAGAAGGGCAACCTTTGCACCAGCTCTGCGGTAATTCGCACAGATTTCGTCGAAAGGGCTTCGGCGGGAATCGATAGCTGCTGGGTAAGACGAGTAGGGCACTGTCCCCGGACGGATGATATTTATCGAATAGGCCAGACATCGCCAGGTGGTGGGTGGGGGCGCGTGAGAGTGGACCAGAGGGGTGGCTAGGGTTTGGGGAGGTCAAATACGCATTCGATTTGTTGCGCATCAGTATGCCATTGAGGTGGCATGGTCGTTGGAGATACCATGAAATATCAACATGCGCAGAGACTGAAACCCTCAACGGTTTGAAAACTCCTCTCGACCGGTATCCCTCCTGCGGCGATGGACGTGAACGACCCAACACCTCGGGCAGTCCAATGCCGGTCTTCGCATCTAGGTACCATGAAACACTCTCGAGTGAACAATCCACCTTGAAGTGTCGATTTTCTTTCGTAACGCCTTGTCGTGAGGTTTGTCCTGGAATGTACATGACAACAGAACCATGCAAATGCGTTCAATACGTACCGTCGGGAGCCAACGAAAACCTTCCTCATTCGCCCACCGCTCTGGCTTCCACGACCCACCGGATCACTGCAAGGTGCACGACTACAACAGTAGCCAATAAAAAATCGCACATTCAATGACGCTAATGTGAGCCATACTGGGTCACACCTACTTAACTGCTGGGCCGAACCTCCTTCGCCGTTTATTACAAAGGCTTGGGGTGTCTTGCCTCGGTTGTTGCTTATATACCTGCACGCGAGTCGCGATAGATCTTCCTACAGCAGTGGGCATCAGGCTCGACACAGACCCCCAATGCATTTTCGTGTTGTGTCGGAGTCACAGCCTTCAACGAACGCACAATACGTAGACGTGCTCGAAGCAAAAAACAAACTCACCTTCAGAGTACCCCCCTACTTTCATGGACACCGAGAACACATAAGATGCCTTGCACACACGAGTATCGTACTTGTACACAACGCGCACCCGGACGCATGCGGCACATCTTCTCTCTTGCCATTACCCACAACTTTGAACAAAATGACGTAAATTGTGGATGCACACCCACCCGCACATCTCAAAAACGGGTACATTAGAGCAGAACTCATTTTGGTAGAATTTCATGTGTTTTCAACTTCAGGATGAAAGATCGAGTCAGTCGAAAGGGCGTTGAGGCGAGAGCGGGCTGAACCCATGAGTTGTGCATGTATATTTCGTTATAACCTGTCGCATAAGAGGACTAATGAAACACGAAGGGAAAAACGTAAAACAACCCTTAATTCACAAATGATCACTCTTGGGGTACGATTATCATCGAGTAGTGACGCAGGATAGAAACAACAGCAGCAGGCAGCATCACGAACGAAGAGCTCATTGGGAGCTGCGTTGTGACATTCCCCTCAAGCTCAACAGCTCACGCAACCGACGTTTGTTTGACTCGTACACGCCAGTGAACCTCATCACAAAAGCATAACGTGTCTCATCTCAAACTTGTGATGGTTCGATGCGGTTTTTGACACCCAGCAGCATCACTCCTGCTGGTGCGTCGCTTGATCGGCTTCACACCCATACATCGTGATGTGCGTGACGTGGGTGAGTGAAATGAACCGGGGCCTTCTCCGGCTTTCATACCGTCCCTCGTCCCGTGCAAGTGTTCCCTCGATTCACACGTCAGGGTCGGACATACTCGTCACTGATGAACGCCTGGACTTGACCAAACGCGCTCTGCTCTCAATGCAAACAAGAGTGATTGCGGAAACATCACCGACGGCACAAGGGAGAGCGCGCCCGTCACTGCTGTTGTTTGGCGAGGTCGGCCTCGGAGACGAAAATAGCATGGAACCCAGCGGGCACTCTAGCCGGCAGTTTGACGATGGCGACCGGCTCCGAACTCATTGTCTTGGCGTTGAAAACACGCAGCTCTGCAGAGAACATCGGGCGATATGGCCGGTGTGAGGAGTCGACCGTCAGTTCAAACATCCTCCTGGCTTTCGAGAAACTCGAACGTTTCGTGTTTTGTAGTCTTCGGGCACCGGGAAACCGCGTCGAAATAACCTCGACAAAACACCTCTCTCACCCAGTTTGACAAGACTATGCATACTTTGGTGAAGAAAGACAGAGAGATAGCATCAAGAAGAAATTAAACCGGTACATGGCGAAGGCAAAATACAGGTAGGTGGTACACCCAAGGCAGCTCGACTGTTGATCGTCAAACCTGTCGGTTGCAAGCACCACATGACAATCTGGTATTGGCAGCAAATGCATCCAGTTCGGCATCAGTCCGAATTGCTACACAGGGCGGGTTGCTTGCCAGGTGCCTAAGGGGTGATATTCACACATACAACAGGTCTTGCTTCCAAGTAAGAAGACTCGGCACTGGGATCCGCCCAGGTTCCTGCACGTGCTGGATGCACATTATTGCTCGTAGCCGTCCGACGGAGACTAACGAAGACAAGGGGATGTGGGAGTGCCACGAAGAACGTAGACTAGCAAGATTGCTGTGACTGCAACAAGAGCAAAAACATGCCTCATACGTTGCTAAACCTATTAGACGCGAACATGTTGAACAAATAACATAGCTGCCTTTTCGACAGCGAAAGCAACAATCGCAACTAACTGTACATTCGATCGGACGGACAACCCCTTTCTTTGGTGCCGAACATAGAGACGAGATGTTCAAGCCATGCTCCCATATCCTAATGAATTTGTCTCGCCTGAGTTCCCCGTGCCGTCTTTCCGGCTCACGAAGGTTGCCAGGTAGCCATCATCCTCTCCACCCTCCGGCTCACCGTCACCGTCATTGTCGCCGTCGTGCCCGGCATGGTCGTCGGGCTTGGAGGGGATGAAAATGCACTCGCCGCCCACAAAGCCATCCTCGTAGGCGATTCGCCCGACTTGCGCCAGTTCTGGCTTTGCCGCCTGCATAACGTCAGATGCGATGCTTTATGGTTCATGGGGACCAATAACGTCATCGTTACACATATGCGAAGGACAGAAAATCACAGATTACCGCCCCGCAGAAGGAACCACCAACGTTTCACACGACGAAGGGGGCGATTTTCAAGATACCATCGACGTCACGAGGAGCTATCATGAAAGTCTTTGTCGTACGCGGTTGTTGATGTGGAACAGCCGATTAATCATGTGACTCTATGAAAAGTACATGTAGCAACGTTTTGACCCTGGTCCAAGTCCTCCCCTTGTCGTCTAAACGGGCTGGTCTAAACACCGGTCGTTTTTTCGTTCGTCCCAGTGATGCCGGGCCAAAGACCCGAAGGCCATCTAAGCCGGTAATCTCTCACTCTGGTGCTGTCCGAACGTCCATGAATGCCAACAAGGGACCTTCAAACCTCACCTGGAGGTCGACCTTGACTTCGGCGGCGGCGTCGCCTTTCGAGTTGAATGTGGTGCAGTAACCGAACCTGTTCTTCCTGCCCACGAGGGACCGCCGGAGCTGTGGAAAGTCCATCCCCTCAACGAAAGGCTTTTCCGGGAGGACACTGTGTCTAATGACCTCGCCCGTGTCAAGTTTGAGAATGACCGTGTGCAGGAATGGCAACGAGTCTTTGACAGCACAAATCAGAAAAAGGTGTGAGCGGGTCGGCGTCGAGCGTGTGCGGAAGAAGGGAGGTCGTCGGGGTCGAGAATGACAGAGTAACATTCGCAAAAGACACGACTGCGGTGAAGCATAGCGGGGCAGGTCTGTAGTCGTAGGAGATGAGTAGGGATACGGGTTTGATGACGGTAGTGGATGCCGAGCGAAGGCGTGCAATTACAGGCAAGTCCCGAGTTTTTATTCCAGGAGTAATATCAACGCTTGTGCACGCACCGTAACAGAAGTAATACCTGCTCATTAGCCCCAACGGTCGCCTTAAAAAATCAATGTAAAACGACAGGACGGAAGGACCTTGGGTGTGTTCAGGGCGTCGGCGACGCAAACGACAGTAAATTGACCGCACGTACCTTGCTCATTCATGTTTTTAACCCCCGCTCTATGGCAGTGGTTATAATGTAGGCTGCTGATGGGCGTGGAAGGCACGCGGGAATCCATGTGGGAGTCAGAGATCCTATGCATGCATCCGTGATCCCAATTATTTCCGGTGAAATGTGCCGGTTTCAATCGCTGGGTTTGACACCCCTTCAAGCAAAACGGCATTGCCTTCCACTCTATGTCGTCTTTGTGGAAACTGCTTCTGCTTTTTACCCTGATCGACGCCATGTGCAGCCTTGCGGAAGTCCAAATCAAGGTGTTTGGTGTCACAGGTGTGGATCTTGATCACCGAAGATGTATTGGGAGCCACCCCGCCAGGCCCTCCCGTCTGCTCCATCGTTTCCTCCCAAGCGTTGAGGACGTGAAATGCGCAGTACGTCTTCGGTTTCAACCCGTCGTCCGCCAGCCATAAAACGGAACAGCAACAAGAGGTTTGGTCAACGATGGAAGAGGAAATAGCGACAGAATTTGACTCATTCACGAGAGATTGGGAGACAAGATCCACCACATCGCTTTTCTCCACTCTCGTGGCTCGGAGAAGATCACCTGTTGTACCCTTACCTACGCAAGGTTAGAGAGGAACCAAGAAGCAGCATTATGTAGTCTACATGAAGTATGTAAGAGAAAGAGGGGGGGCAGGAGATCATCACAAATCAATAATCCCGCACTCTTCTTTCTCAGCAGATGTCGAGTCTGACGGACCTGTGCCATTCGAGATCGAAACAATGCTACAGTAGCACCGCCCCTACCTCGACATGCGCGTCGCTTTTCCGGCCTGATGCACCCTAGCGTGCTTCGAGGCTGCCGGAGCGTCTGTTTTCCATTCTCTGCAAGCAACGAACCATGGCACTGTCATGGCACTGTCCAGATCACCGCCAGAAAGAATTTTTACGATTGAATCAGTCGCTCTCCGGTCGAATATGTCCCCTATTTTCTGATGGTGTCTGCACTGCTCCCCACTGTTACGAGATGGCTTGTTCTAGCGTCGGCTAACATGCCACGGCTTAAATGCAATGCGTAACACCTATAGGTGTGAAGAAATGGGTTTGAAGCGACCCTAAGAGGGAGTACCTGTTGCCATACCTGGGGCATGTCGAACCAGCGCATCTCGGACGAATCGCTGGCGTCCAGACGCAGGATACCCATCCTAATTGGGTGAAAGTATTAAATCACATACACGAGTATGTGTCCGTCAATTACGCGACGCTCGCCCTTACAAGCACCAAGAAAAAACGAGCAGAATGTGCCGAGAACTAAGCGGGTTTGGCTATTATCTCTACGTACATGACTGTTTCGACGAGGATGCTGCTAGCGATAGCTTGACGGAAGTTGGAAAGACAAGGTCTAATCCAACATCCTCCGGCAGTGAATGCGGTGTTAGATGGCATGTAAAATTGGTATTTTAGACATGCAGGGACGGTAAGACCCCTGAGCTGGTCAGGATAGACGGACGGTTGGAAATTTCCTCCAAAGTACTTTCGAATCTGGAAATAACGTTGGATAGAAGGGTCTGCCTTCTGTACCCGCTTAATGAGAGTCGAAGGTGCTTTCTTCGTAACGGCACGCTTCTTTGCCGGGGTTCGTTACTCGTAGTGGTTTTTTTGCCTTTGTCCCGGCATTGTATTATTACTTGTTATTATATACATTTAAATTCTAATTGTCATGAAAATCGAAACCACAAGTTGTCGACGGTTCCCTATCAGAATCCCTGCTTTTGTGTAAGGCTAAGATGATTGAGACAAAACTTTTTCTGGTTCTTGAGCCCTGACCTGTGACGACTTAAGATCGATACGGGATCAAGGGTATTGACAAACGACTGGTGGTTCGCCTGAACCTTCCTTTGGGCCCTTGTTTTGTAACCCAATTTCTGAATACCTGACGAAAATACTCCTGGAACTGAACCCGGGAGGATAAATACCATATTGGAGGTCGTGGAATGGGGAAATCTATGGTGGCATGCGATAGAAGTATGCGCAGCCAAAGAATGCCCTGTCAAATGGTAACTTTGACCCTTCCCGTATTTGTTTTGTACCTCCTGGCATTTTCTGACCGCATTCTTTTCATGTCTGGTTCCTTTGAAGCCGACAGTAAACGCTGCGTCCGTGTAGAGATCACGTGGTTTGGACGGGACCGTCCCCTTATTCGCTATCACTACCCTCTTGGTCGCTCTATGGTGATACACGGCATGTCTTCTATCACTGAGGTCAGCGTCGTACTCGAAGCCTACTACGTTGCGGCGTCTTTCACCGGGAGCTTTGCTTGATTCAATACTGAGCTCGTTCAGGATGGGGGCACCCTCTGCACCCCGTGGGTTCGCGAAATCATTTTGGGAATACGTTTGAGTCTGAGGGTTCGTAAAATACATGAATTGGTTCGCAAATTCGCTTCCACTAACATTCATCGGTTCCCTCTCTGATTCTTAGACCAATATTTTTATGTTTTTTATGTACCCTTCGTAAACTAAAAGGATATAGACCCCTTCTTTCGATTGTTTTCGAAATTCATCGTCCGCCCGGTCGCCGTCTTCTATCCCGTTTGATTATACCTGTTTAGGATAGTAACTGTGTGTGGAATGTCTTGATATAGTCTCGTCGTCGGTTCCCTTTGCCTGTCTGATCCAACCCTGTTGGGTTCCCGCTTCCATAAATCGCTATCTAAAGATATTTTTGTACAGACTGGGGCCTGATGATCCATCGTAATTATATTGTCCGTGTTGAAAATAAACTGATTCAAGCGTGAGTTCCTTCCCCCCACACCACCTTCCATCGGGGTCTAACGACCCACTCCTGCCCTTCGCCCAACCGATGGTGCAGGGGGGGGAACTTACCCTCGGGTCGAAATATTTTATCGACACTCACAGCGACCTGCGTTGACCCCTCCACAAAGATGCCGAAGGATCCGCATGTCGCTTGTTCCTCTACTTTATAAGAGAGGAACAGGGGGGGGGTGGGTCCCGCATTGTGTGACCCGGTTGTATCGAATATTTAGTTTGTTATTGAGCAAAAACATACATCTGTTGGATATAACTTTTGTATGGAGGGGTGGGTCCCACTTGGAAGTGGGTCCCACTTGGAAGTGGGTCCCACTTGGAAGTGGGTCCCACCGGCGACCGGGCAGGCGATGAATTTCGAAAACAATCGAAAGAAGGGGTTATAGGTCTTTGAACTCTAGCTTGTTTTCTGTACGTTAAGGTATATTTTTTCTTTTACTGGGATGTCGTTTTCGTTTACTAGGATATGTCACTTTGTGATTGGACATTCCCCCCATTCGTCTAGAATTGATATCGTTGGATTGTTGGATGCTATAAGTACTTTGAGGCTTGGGTAGAACTTTTGTGTATTTGCCTCCAAATTCGAACGCCATATACATGTGTCCCGTTACTGCCTTGAGAAGTTGTACTAATGCTGTTTTGGGACGTTGGTTCCCTGAACCGTCTATGTGATGTGTTAGTTCTTCGATGATAATAACCGGTTTGCCATTATAGCTTCGCATTGATATAGGATCGAATCCTCCGTGAGGTCTTGTTGGCATGTAGAATGTGTTGCTTGCCCCAATAGTATCATTGAGAGCTCTGTATATTACTGTTTCCCCCCCCCGGATCGAATATTCATCCATATCCCGTTAGGCGTGTGTGGTTCCATGGACTTGTAGCCCAAGAAATAATCTTGCGTTGCCATGATGTCATCTTCATTGAAGGGTCGAGTAGTTTGACGTCGTCGTTGACGTAGGTTAGATTGTAATATCGCACGAGGAGGTTTGTCTGATGAGTGTCACCACTGGTTCGTTCATAAACTTCTTGAAGAACCACTGCGTGTGGTTCCTTATCTTGTTTCATCCGCTCGACCATCTGAAATAGATTTGAGTGATTGGAATATGGTTCTAATGTATCTTCCTTTGATTTTATGATGTATCCCTCTGGCGCGGTTTGCTTGTGTGAATGATAAGTGGTTCGGTATCGACGTCCTTTTTGACTGTCTTTTCTGTTAGATATTCTACCATCTTGTCGAAAGGCCAAGTCCAATACCTGGTTCGATTTGTCTTTTTACTTGTATTGACGTGGCAATAATGGGTTGCCCAATGCTGGTCGTTGTTTTTGAATTGATTTTGTGCCAACATACTTGTGGAATTTTCCATAAGCGCAGGCACACAAGTGAAATTTAGTTTTCTCTGCAAGTTTGTCTTCGGGAACTGATACCTGTTCGTTGCATTTTTTTGTACACCTCCGTGCAATTCTATGCAAGAAATGACCGCTGTTGCTCCCTGTTTGAGGAGGTAATTGGCGAGAATTGAACAATCACCGTGTGTATGATCGAGTGTAATAACGACTCTGTCGCTGTAGTTGGTTGACATGGTTCTCGCGCTGAAAGAGTGAACCCATGTAACGTATTGCAGTTCCGCTGCTGTGTGATTCCAGGCCGGAGCTTGTCGAACGGAGAGGCAAGGCCGCAGGCTACGAACGACGTGCGAGCGAAGGCTATCCAATGAAATGCGGAACAATAACTACCTATGTACAGTTCTATGTGATGTGAAGTTCTATGTTTCTTATTTATGTGTCTACAGGTTTGGAGGTCTACGCCGCCACTCGACGGCAAAAATCAGGACAAATGATCAACGGATGGTATGCGGTTAAAGACTAGACTAACCTGGACCCCGCCGTCTCGTCGAAAACGAAGGGGACTTGCCCGGTCAACATCAGCTCCGGCTTGAACAGCAAGGGAAAGTCCAAGAAAACTGCGTAGTTCTTGGTGATCGCAAAGTCATGCATCATGATAGGCCTCTTGACGTCCACGATCGGAAACTTTAGGCGTCCGGTTCCGGAGGGATGATATCACATTGCACGAAAAATCGAACAGACAAACAAACACGGGTCAAAATGTTGGGTGATTGAAGCTGGCAAAGAGATGCTGTAGCGGAGTCGTCCGCGACAAAGGGAGTCATAACGGGAATTGGCTGATTCAACGGCCTGAAAATGACGACAACTGACGACAATACGGACCATTTCTGTTGAGGACTCAACTCTACAGGGAGTAGTAATTTGTTCATAACTTCCATTACCCGGTCCCGCCATGGCTCGTAGTCCGTCAGGCAACTTTAGCTGAGCCAAGCCGATCTATCAAATTTCACCCATTTGTGGCAACCTCGTGTGACCCTGAACGCAGTCCGAAGAACAGGTTCATGACACGTGATTCGGTGAAAACGTATTGCGTGGTAGATATATATACGAAACGATCACGAATCGTTTTCATTTCGTTAGACACCGTTCTCGGAAGAGTATTGTAATTCTGTGTTCCGTCAACTGCATTCCTTGTCGGACCCCTGCATGGCGATGAGCAGAAGAATTGATTTTTTGACCTTTTGTCGGACCCGGAAAGCACTGTCTGATAGCGTCACGAGCCTGCATGCGAGTCGGCATCACCGTGATCTTGTCAGATGGGTGGGCTACTCTCGTTCATGACGCCTTGGAAGAATGCTGGTAGTGTCTCTTCATCGGAGCAAATGCCGTCGTGCCACCAGGCCACAGAATGCGAGCCAATTGCTTCCATTCTGCTGCGTTGGCGGCGACCAGCTTCTGATGTATGTTTTGCCTTTGGAGACATCAAGGTTTGTCTTGAAGAAACCACTGAAGGCCCCTCCAGAAACCCCGGCAAAGGAGCGTTGCCCAACGACACAGGCTGCGGTGATATGGAAGAAACTGGGTCTATGTTCGACTACAGATCTCTTTTCTCTTGGCCTAGGCGATGTTTAGACCCTCAACACGTGTACCGCAAAGAATAACTTTGGGCTACCCATCCACTCTAGGTACAATTAGAAGCCCTTCCTGGTCAAGTTCATCAGCGATACACGCATGACGTACACACTCTTTCTCAACGACCGAAGTGGCAGGTGATGAAGTAAGAAGCTTGGGCTTCGAACTAAGTAAATAGTCTAAGGTTCGACAACGTGCAAGCTGATGACGAAGTCAAATATTGCACCAGGGAAGTACTTTAGTTCGACGTTCAAGGTGTTATACTTAGACTATTCACCGGCCAGGTGTTGGTTGAGAGAAGCAAGACAGAGGACGCTGCAAGCAGTACACGCCTCAGACCCGATGAAAATATTTTCCGTCGTATTCCCACGTGCGGCTGAAGCTTGTACACCACATTCGCTGATTTCAAGTTTCGGTCAGGCCGTACCTGACGCTCCAGTTTTCCGCTCTTGTCCAGCACGTAGTAGGTCACGTACGGCTTGGTCGCGTCCGTGAACTGGCGTGGAGAGAACAGTAGACACGGTGAACACACAGACCAGTACAAGCAGAGGTTCTCCAATTCGTCTACAAATAGACACATCGTGTTCGCATCAAACATGGGGTCGATGGCTGCGATTGTTTAAACTCGCCTCAAAGCAGCTTGCACTAGGTGACGGAAGAATCGCAAGAGACCAGGACAAAAAACACCGCTCGATAGGTCTTTGAACAAGAGCTCCCTCCACAAAACTACACGTAGATGTTTTTGCGGAATCTGGTTGCTCAGGTGGTGCCACGATTAGGAATAATCTGCCAGAGATTTACATATCCTCGACAGGTCACGGTGGTGGTCTCGGTACCATTTGGAGTGTAGATCGTTGAGCAGGGAGGAATCATATCGGACACTGCTCGGCCTTTCAAGGCCGTGCACAGCTGCATTAACCGAGGACAGAACCGAGGTCAGTGTAGAACGTCCACCGTCCTGACACCAACTCTCTCAAACAATACTCCCGACCGATCATCGTGTCCGTAAAACAAAGCCCTCAGCTTGAAGGAGGCTCGGGTGGATGTCCATCAGGGACAAACTGCCCGGGCTCCTCAGACTGCTTATTTTCCACAAACGTGTGGTCAAGACATGTACTGTACGGACTGGTGGATTCACGCGGTTCGGTGGCATTTCGCCACGCACAACAGCGACGGCTACCACGAACATGGTGTCCAGCGCCGTACCGTCTCGGGCTTCAGAAAGTAGATCCATACCCAAAATATTCGCAACTAAGCTCACATTGTGACATTGTGGTCGGACACGGCCATCCAACACAACTTGTTAGCTACATGGACATCATATTCGCTAAATTAAGGCGTAGCGGGTTGCCGTACACCTGGTCGGGGGGTCAGCTTTCTCTGGAAATGTGCCGGTTACCATTTTCCATCGACCATAACTTGGAAAGTAGATAAGGCTCCTGATAGAGTCATTGTACGCGTTTATCGATGTCGAGATGGAGACGGAAACCTTGCGTGTAAGGCGATCAACAAGAGATGACAGAATGTTTGGTACCATGCAGGGCCGAATGTCTTCGTCATTGAGGATGCCGTTCTTCGATTCAAGAACCCGGTACCTGATAGCCGAACGCGTGCAGCTTGCCGGTGTCTGGGTCTTTCTTGGGGTGAGCCGTGAACGGCGCCTTCATCTGGCCGTCGAAAGTAGCCTTGCCGATCGTCTCGATCACCCCGTCACACATGACGCGGAGGGCGTATGGAAGACCTCCCTCACACAGCGCAAAGAGACGGCCTGAAAAAAACAAATGTGGGTAGCAAACGTGGTGTAAAGTGGAAGGATGCCAAAAGCCTACTAAATAGCGAAAAACACGGTATGAGAGGGTAAAAAAATGCGGCGCGTTACAAACATGGTGGACGTCAGCGAGAGTGTGAGGAATGTGCTAGCCAAACGAGCTCGCGATATGTTGAAAGATGGGAGGGGAGGGATGGGCACGGGAGGGTAAAGATTAACAATCGGAGCAAGCTTTCAAAAGGTCACGTATGTGCCAGTCTTCCGTATCCTCATTCAGGCAATACGCAGAAATGACAATTCCTTCATCTCGCTACCTTCTTTCAGTGGAAACGAAGCAAACAACGCAAGTCAGTTTCGCGCCCGGGCCGTTGGGTGTATCCACGCCCCGTCCTTCAGAAAGCTCGACAATAACCGAGTACGGAGCCCAGTCATCGGTAGGGTTCAATCGAGGTCAGATCAACAACAAATCGGGACAGCTCTCCCCCGTCCTGTCATTGCACGTCGCCGTACCGCCGCGCAACAACCTATTCCTTCAGTCCACGAATCCGACCAAACTACATACTGACAAATGGGAAAAAATTCTACGCTCAGATGGACTCGGAAACACGAGGTTTCTCTCCATCACGTCGGGGTCCCCGGTGCGGTTGTGGGGGATGTGAAACCGGCAGGGCACAACTTTGTGGCAAGCCAGTGTTCGCCAGGGCTTGAGGTGAGGGTTTCGTATCGCACATAAAAACGTCGATTAAGCATCGAAGCTGCCTCTTACCGGTTGAAGAATCTCAAAACCGGGGTGTAAATATGTCGTCTATGAAGTCCGACCGACGTGAACTACCATGAATACAGCAGCAGTCCAACAACAACAACAACAACAATAACACGAGGAGCAGCAATTACAACCGAAACTCCAGCAGCAACACGCGCACCTGCGTGGAAGTCGAGGCTGGTGTTGGCGGTCGTTTCCAGAGCGTCAATCAAGTCAGGGATTATCCCGAGCTTCACTTTAAGGGAGTACAGTAGCATCTTCGGGATGCCCACCAGAGATGCCATGTCTCCTAACCTGAAGGAAAAAAAAAAAGCGACAGGCCGCGACATATCGTCAGCCTCAAAGTACGTGTGCATGTTTCGTCGTACAACCAGGTTTTGGTGCTAAAGGGGTAGCGTCGCTACGTGGGATGGGAGACCACGCGACAACAAGAAGCCGGAACTACCAATAAGAATTCCATCCAGGTGGCGCATTCCTTGCTCCACATGCATATTGCGACTAAAGAACTCGTCACCACGAAAGGATCTAGCAATGAAGACATCAAAGTCTAACAAAAACTTCAAACACTACAACTGGGGCCTCCAAGTATTGTGCTTGGCAATGTAGTCGTTATCGATTACCCACAGAGGAGAGCCACGTACTCTCGCAATAATTGTGAGGTTCTCAAGGAGTGGTGCCTTCCGCACTATATTCAATGCTGCGACGAAGAATATATCTCAAACACTTGACAACAGAGGAACAGTGTCGGAGGGGTCTCAAACGGATGGCACGAACTACAGTACGGCAAAACGTTTGGGCTCTGCAAATCGTCATCAAAGACCGCATCTTCGTGTTTGATTTTTCTCCCCTCTCACTTGATGACCACGGCCTCGCCAGCCTCTTCTTCAGTCCTTAGCTTCTCCGTCCTCACGTACCGGTTGGAGTATGTTGCCTTGCCTGCCTTGATCCGGACGCTATGCACCTGGCGTTTCGTGGGATTATAAGGGTGTGCTGAGTTCGTATTTGATATCCGCCACGGGCACGTACATGCAGCTTCTTCATAATGGCGTTTGTTGCTGGCCGTGAAATAGGCACCGAGCGAACACAGTCAGTAACGACAAGCATGACGATGTTTCCGAAACGTCGAAACTGCTTCCTGGAACCATTAGCTGAGTGCTGCAACTAACTCTCTCTGTACGAGCACGTGAACGAGGTACCAGTTGATCATTTGGCGGGCTCGCTCCGTGGTGCATGGGGTTCATCGCCCACACGAGTGTCCCGCAAATACGTCGGTCTTGCCAGGCCATTTTGACCGGCATTTTACCGAGACCCCGGCATTGAATAGAATGGGCCAGATTGTTGTCCAGCCGGCATTATTCAGGGTTTTCAAAATCTCCAATATTTCCGGTACCAGCACTTTTCAAGAAATCGTTCATGGTAGTGCAGTATCCTTGGCCCTAGGCAAACATAGAAAAAACACAAAATTTAGGTGTCTCTCTTGTATCGGGGAAATTCGTGAAAAATGGTCCGACTGAGCATCGGAGACGTGCGCATATGAAGGAGCGTTTCGTGCAGCTGCAGTGTGTGCGTACTTGATTTTTTCACACCAATATAGTCGTGCTGACCATATAACTCTACGCAGCACAGTCCCTCCGTGTGACAGTGCGAAAGGTCGCAAAGAACCAAACACGGCAGCAGCCAAAAATATACACATGTTCGGTGCTGGTCCCGTCTACAGTTGATCCCGTATCTCAACATCAAAGCACCTTCCAAGTATGCGGCCATAGAAAAAAACGGAGTGATCAATATTCAGGGGAGGGAGAGAGCGGGAGTGAAGATACGAAATACACGCGTCGCCCACACGTCTCAGAAGAAGTTGGCTTAAGAGTGGGCGGGCACGACAGAGCACGGACAAACTCGACTTCAAACTTCGAGCAACTAAATACGATCATCAGGACCCTCCACACAGAGGTAAATGGCCTCACGACCGTGTGTCTATGGTATAAGACATAGGGCAGTTTCACGAACCCGCAGAGCCCAATGCCGGCAGTGTACCACGGAACATCCGTAGAAATGGAAGTACCGGCACCATACTGGATGAACGTCGTGCCAGCAGAACTCACTGGTGGTACCAAGGGAAGTCGGGATTAGTCAAACTGCATATCATAGCAGGACCAGGAGACTTTTTTCCGCAGCCACAGGTCGACAAATGAAGAACCCCATACGCAGTGATACTCAAACTCTGCTCATCATTGAGTCCTCTCGTCGTTCTTGGCAACCCTCTCCAAAGTAAGGCTCACCATTCCATCTCCGTCGAACCAGTGATAGCCGGCCTTTGGCTTGAATTTGGGGTTTGGCCCGTTCCGAGCCACAGTCCCGTTCAGAGCCTCTGGAAGCACTCCCACGACCTCGCACGCTCGGGTTGTCTCTTCGTCTACCGGGGCGTAGACCTTGGACAAGAAGGGGTTATCCTTGTCCTAGACTTGGAATAAGTTCGATGGAATTGTCATTTGCTGCACAAACGGACGTGGGTGAAAACTATATAATAAGTGGCAAGGGGCCCAAGGCAAAACCGAATGCAAAGTTTAATGACATGTGACCTTGGAACGCGCCACCACCACGTAACGTGTAAGAACTTTGCAGTTAAGAATTTGAGCCTCGAATATTCCAAAATCTGCTAACTTGGCCTAAGAACAGGTGGTCAGTGAAGAAGTCTGCGTGTAGTCACCGTGGGGATACCCTACAGAAAATACAAAAAACGAGCCCCGGCCAACATTAGACTAGAGGTTTGTGGGTGGTCCATTCTGTATCGAAATACAGCAGGAGTAGTCCTGTAGTCCCTCACCCGAACGTCAAGTTGTGTGCCCGACGAAGACATTAGCACAATAACACTGTTGCACACCGGTTGATCGGCACTATACCGTACAGTCAGGGTGCGAGAGGTGGTACCGGGTGCGATCGAAAGTTAGGGGTTAAACACTAACTATTTTACGCTGGCTCTTTTCGCATACAATTATCTAGAAGAAAGAAAGAAAACAACCTTGCCGCTGGAGGAACCTGGTCCGTTGTACTATCATCAGCGGAGGACACCATCAAGAGGTGTTCGAGCATGCTGGCGCGTTCAAGTTTGCCACTGGAGCTGAAACATCGAAGGTCGCAGCAGCCTCTGAAAAAAGTGTCGAAATCTGCGCCGGAACCAAGCGGAATTCAACATTTGTCACAGCTAGCCGTCATCACCACCACGCCGTAAACCCCTGAAGGGAGGTTACCAACAGTAGTGCCATCCGCCACTGCTTGAAACCCGCAGTTCAGGAGATTGGGGTCAGTGGCGGCGAGCACAAGCAGTGAAGACACTGGGTGTCCGTCCATTCTGCGGAGCTTTCGGAGGTTGATACCGTATATGACACAAGATAACACACCCCCTTGACCGATTTTCGAAGCTCGATTTCTCAACTGCAGAAACAGCCACAGCGCCGAAAACGGCAGCGTTGAAACTGTCTCGTCGAGAGCTTTTCGAAAATGTGCCGTTTCGTTTATGCATTCTCTTCGTCGTGGAGTAATCGAGCTTTGAAAATCGGTCCAGGGGGTGTGTTATCTTGTGTCATATACGGTAGGCCACTACAGTACCCTCGATACACCAACACAGAAGAAGCAGACTTAAGCGCGCCAACACAAACACCCCGTTTATTACTAGATCGGGAGGTGGAATAGTTTTTTGTGGTGGTTGCATAAAAGTACCTGCAGTAGGCTCGTGCGTCTGTTACAGAAGAACGGGGGGCGGTCCATCATCACCAGCTAGAGAGGGGGGTGGTATCCATCATCATTCGCTAGAGGGGGGGGTGGTGTCCAAGTGCTATCCATGGTTGAAAGGTAAACTACGCGGGGTGCAGCAAGCACGTTCTGGACGTTACTTGGGGCACTGGGTAGTCGGCCGTGTTAGACCGAGAGAGATTGAGAGAGAGTTGGAGAGAGAGTGGGAGAAGGAACCTTGATTGGAGAGAGACGGTGGTGGTGGTGGAGAGAGAGGGAAGAAGTGCGCAGCACGCACGCAAGCTCCATCGCACCAACCACGCCAAAAGGATCCCCGTGACTGCACCGGTGGTACCCTACTACACACGAAATTCCCAACACGTATCCCCTGGGATTCTCACGACCAGATACTGCTGCGAGTATATCTAACATCCCCCCTGCTCGCAACAGTCTCTCACTGAAAACTTCGCTAACACCCGATATCTCAACCAAAAGACGTCTTTCCCAGACGATATGCCACCAAGACTTTACCAGAATAACATAAGAGAGAGAAAAACAATTCAAAGGAATATGAATGCTGTATCGCGCGTAACAAATACTCGGCGCGGGAAATGAAANTCTCTTCGTCGTGGAGTAATCGAGCTTTGAAAATCGGTCCAGGGGGTGTGTTATCTTGTGTCATATACGGTAGGCCACTACAGTACCCTCGATACACCAACACAGAAGAAGCAGACTTAAGCGCGCCAACACAAACACCCCGTTTATTACTAGATCGGGAGGTGGAATAGTTTTTTGTGGTGGTTGCATAAAAGTACCTGCAGTAGGCTCGTGCGTCTGTTACAGAAGAACGGGGGGCGGTCCATCATCACCAGCTAGAGAGGGGGGTGGTATCCATCATCATTCGCTAGAGGGGGGGGTGGTGTCCAAGTGCTATCCANTCTCAACCAAAAGACGTCTTTCCCAGACGATATGCCACCAAGACTTTACCAGAATAACATAAGAGAGAGAAAAACAATTCAAAGGAATATGAATGCTGCATCGCGCGTAACAAATACTTGGCGCGGGAAATGAAAGAAAACGGGAAACAAAACGAGAAACAAAACAAAACCAAAACACAACCTATCAGAAAAACAACAAAATGTTCATGCCAAATTCATCACAAAATCACGGTGAGAATCGAAAGCATCCTTCGACAAACTCTTCGTAAGGAAGTCTGCACGCTGGTACGGCGACGGCACGTGAATGACCGACATTTCCTTCCTCTCTGCCAGTTCTCTGAGAAAATGGTGCCCTACATCTATGTGCTTCGAGTTCGAGTTTGAGATGGGGTTCTGCGCTAGTTGAATCGCCCCCTGGTTGTCCTCGAAGACGGGGATGCACGGCATGCCGACCTGCGGCAACATGAAACGCCAAATCTGCCTCAAAAACAAAATCTCCTTTACTACGTCGCCTAGCGCGACGTACTCTGCTTCTGTCGTCGAAAGCGTGACGCACTTTTGCGTTCTGGAAAACCAAGACACAGCGCCTCCTCCACACGTCACGATCCCCCCTGATACCGACCTACGGTCTGCTGCCTTGCTTGCAAAGTCCGCATCAGCGTATCCCTGCAAGCTGAATCCCTCTACCGTACCTCTCTGAAACGAAATACCAAAGTGACTCGTCCTCCTCGCATAGCCTAAAATATCCATCGCTGCATTCCAGTGTACCAGCTTCGGAGATGCGCAATACCTAGCTACTGCCCTTACGTGCATTCGCATNCAAGCACGTTCTGGACGTTACTTGGGGCACTGGGTAGTCGGCCGTGTTAGACCGAGAGAGATTGAGAGAGAGTTGGAGAGAGA